GCAATTTAATTTGGAAAAGAAAAGAAGGAATTGTGTCAAAACAGAAAATATTTGCTAAGAGAAATTCTCTTTATTTATTTTTTTTCATGAAATTTTTTTCATTAGACCCAAATTAATTTTTATTAAATAGAAATTCTGTATGAACTATGTAATTGTTTAAAGAATTTAAGCTCTGAAATAAAGAAAAATGTATATGGTAATGTACTGAGATGTTAAAATAGTTTAAACTTCACATCATCTAAGAACAGCTTAGACTTACTTCTATATACAACCATAGCAACAAACTTTTGTTAGTTGTGGAAAGTTCTAAAATTGATATTGTTCCATGGTCAAACCACATGATTCAAGTGGAATTTTTAGTGATTGGAGGAATCGATATGAAAACTCAAAGAAGAACCTCTGTAACACATGTTCATGTTGCTTTTTATTGATGGAATATTGGAAGTTTGAGTTACTGACAATAACCCTATTCCCCAAGTACCCTTTGCACTACTTTAGTGTCTTACATTCAAAATTTTATTAAACTACTTTTTGTTTATCTAATACTAATTAGAATAGCATAAGACCTTTGTTAATAATCCATATTTTAATAGTACACAAGTTTTAAATTCTTAATTCTACAAGGCAATATTTAAAAAAATCCTGAATTTCCACTAATGTGACCCACGTTACACATTTTCTCTTAGCATGTCATCATCTCTGTTTTATCCACCACCCCTCGAAAAAGTACAAAATTAAACATAAATCACTTTCTATAAAATTGTTATTGCTCAGATAAACCATAATTTTTATAATCTTCAATTTTGTTTGGTTACAGAGCTATTGAATAGAAAATCGGACCCCTCCTGCCACACCCACCTGTCACATCCTCTCTTTCAGAATTTGTTGATAGTTCTCTCTTACGTTTCATTATATATTACCTATAACCAATAGAAAGTCAAGGTTTTCACCTATCAAATGATGTATTGTACAACATTATGTTCTGAACAGTTAGATGTCAATTTCACTCACAGTACAAGATTCGTTCCCGTGGAAAAGCTAACGACTAGCGTAAATGAATTTGTAACGGCTCTTGTTGCACAGTTAGAAAGCCAGAAAAATTTTGAGAGTTAGAGGAACTTGTCTAGTACTTTTTATTTCTGTTATACCAATTAAAATAGCATAAAATCTTAGCTAATAATCCATATTTTGATAGTATACAAGTTTTAAGTTCTTAATTCTACAAGGCAATATTAAAAAAATCCTGAATTTCCATTAGTGCGACATACGTGACATTTTGTCTTAGCATGTCATAATCCCTATTCTATCCATCACCCCCTCGAAAATGAACAAAATTAAACGTAAAATACTCTCTATAAAATCATTACTGCTCAAACAGACAATAATTTTTATAGCCTTCAATTTTGTTTGGTTACAAATCTGTCGAATAGAAAATCAGACCCCTCCTGCCACACGCACTTGTCACATCCTCTCACGTCAATTTCACTCAGAGTAGCAACATCGTTCCCATGGAAAAGTTAACGACTAGTTTGGATGAATTTGTTACAGCTTTTGTCACATAGTTAGAAAGCCATGAAAATTTTTAGAAGTAAGTGAACTTGTCTACTTTTTTGCATCTTATTAGTCTATATTCTTTGGTGTATTATTTAATTAAATAAAAATTAAGTGCTTTACTATAATCATTAAAAAAATAAGGCTTAACTCTCCTCGACAATCAAGGGCAAGAAAAAATATTGGGTAAGTACTTTATTTCTTGTTTTTCATATTTACTATTATAAAAGTATGTATATATATATAAGACTAGATTAGGTAAAATAAGTAATAATAATAATAATATAAAGAAAATGGTTCACGAGTCACGCATGCGAGCAGCTTGTGGGTAATGTAATTTGATAGCGTAACGTGAGCTGCACGTTCCCCAAGCGAGTCACAACTTATAATGATGGGAATAGAAGTTAGACACGGTTCAAAGGGCAATAAAACAATAAAATTTAAT